GGAAAGTTACCTTGAAACAGGTGCTGTAGCATTCAGCCAATCACTCTGGGAGATGGATGGTCAAGTGACCAATAGCCTTGACCCATCTAGCAAACCATGTGACTCCTGACTATTTAAGGCAGGGCGTTTACTCCTAAGGGTGAGGTATTTCCTCCTGAGCCTTGGAGGAGCATGGGCCTTCCTTAGAGTAGAGCCTAAAGCCTTCGCATTAGAACATTGGTCTGCTTGGAGCTGCCTGAAGCCTTCCAGCTGCGACACATCCCTTCGCGATTCTCCGGATCCTTGTCCGGCACCACGGGCACGTTAACCATCTCTGGGGTCCAAGCTGACGACGAGGCTGTCTATTACTGTGGTGGCGCTACGACGGCAGCAATGCTGATTGGGGTCATGGAGGCACTGAGTAATGGGGAAGTGAGACACAGACCCTGCTGTTGAAGAGGAAGGTTTGCAGCCCTCTTCCCTCCTGCCAAGCAGAACTGTGTCTGTGGAGCTGAGGCAGGTTCTGGTCTCCTGTCCAAGGACATGACTGTGAATGTCCCCAGTTCCATTCCCCAAGGCACAGGAGGTGATGCTGAGGCTGGGCGTTCATTTTCTCTGTCCCAGGAACAGCATTGCCTCATCACCAGCCCTGCTACCTTTTGCTCTCGGCAGCCACATCCTCCAGCTGCTGCTGGAGCTGCCTCTGCTGGGTTGCTCTGGGCCAGGGGGGCCTCTGCTCCCCAGAAATCCCTATAGCCATGACCAGGTTCCTTTCCCTCAGAAGGTGGTGTTCCACTGGCCTGCTGCTGCCAGCTGTCCTTGCAGGGCCATGGGTCTCTCGTCTTCAGCTGTCTGTGGGGCTGTGGGTCCATCTGTGCATCACGGCCTTTGGGCACAGGGGCTGCATCCTGCTGCCTAGGCAGGGCTGTGCTCGTGGGGCACTGGCTGACCCCTGTCTTTTCCCCTCTCTCCTCTCCCTCTCCAGGTTCCCTGGTCCAGGCAGCGCTGACTCAGCAGCCGTCCTCGGTGTCAGCGAACCCGGGAGAAACCGTCCAGATCACCTGCTCCAGGAGCAGCAACAGTTATGGCTGGTACCAGCAGAAGACACCTGGCAGTGGCCCTGTCACTGTAATCTACTGGAACGACAAGAGACCCTCGGGCATCCCTTCACGATTCTCTGGTTCGTTCTCCGGCACTACGGGCGCATTAACCATCACTGGGGTCTAAGCCAAGGATGAGGCTGTCTAGTACCATGGTGGCCACGATGGTAGTGCTGATCAGCATCCCGTCACTCCGTAGGGTCCCATGGGTGGATGCCCCGGGTTGACTTACTGTCTGCTGTGCAAGGGTGGGATTGATCCTGACAGTGGTGCTGGAGGCTGTGGAAGTGACGGAGCTGCTGATAGTGCAGATCTGTGGTGTGGCTGGTTGCTTCTGCCTTCAAAATGGGATGCTGGCACTGGTGCTGTGTGTTTATTTACTGTTGGGAAGTGTTCATTCCAGGAGGCCAACTCTCTCCTTTCCGGGGACTGCAGTGGGGCTCCCCTGTTACCGGGGCTTTACTTAGCCCACATGTTCGGTGTGACAGCCCAGCACTGGTCTCTGGGCCTGGAGAGGGGTGAGTGGCAGCAGCTTCTTCAAGTCATTTTGCTCTCTGGTGTCTTCCCAG